AAATTGAGTAGAATGGCTTTTGGTGGGAGAATGTACAATTGGTTAAGGGCCTTTTTAACAGACAGGACATTTAGAGTAAAGGTTGGAGCAGATATTTCCAATTATTTTGAAATAGAAAATGGTATTCCCCAAGGGAGTGCAGTCAGTCCAATATTATTTAACATCATGATTAATTATATATTTACATGCTTAGACACATGCATCCAATCGGCTCTGTACGCAGATGATGGGGCTATTTGGATGAGGGGAAGAAATTCCCCATACGTAATGGAGAATATAGCTAGAGCTGTTAAAAAAGTGGAGAGGTGGTCATATGACTGGGGATTCAAAATGTCAGAAAGCAAGTCATGCTATATGGTATTTACAAATAAACGCAAGATTGATGGCCAACAGCTAACACTATATGATCATCCAATGACAAAGGTGAATGAGTTCAAATACCTAGGACTGTGGTTTGATAGCAAATATATATGGAAAATGCATATAATAAAAAAAAGTATAGTGTATGGAGCAGCAGCAAAAACATCGCTTTTAAAAAATTGATAGAATACAATATAAAGCATTGCGGCTGTGTATTGGAGCGATAAAGTCATCCCCTATCAATGCAGCTCTGATAGAAGCAGGAGAGACACCTCTGGAGATCAGAAGAGAGAAACTTGCTCTGTCATACTGGGTCAGACTACAAGGAAGTGGAGAGGAACATATCACAAACAGAATACAGGATTGATGGGAATATGCAAAGTTCCAGGGGCGTGAGTTTGGCTGGACAAGTAAGGAAAGAACGAGGGCATGTGGAGTGGAGAATATCACGTTTGCCAAAGCAACCCCATTTAGCACTGTTCCTCCATGGCTTTCCCAGAAGCTAAAATAGATATGAGTATTGCAGAAAGGAAAAAAGAGTGGCAAATAAATGAAGTGGGAATTAAAACAAGTAATTACCTCAAAATGTACACAGATAGTTCTAAGAACAAGGAAGAGTGTGTTGGAGTTGGCATATACATCCCAGACTTTAAAATATCGATTTCAAAAAGAGCGTCTGATCAATTATCAGTATACACAGCAGAAATGCTGGCTGTAATAATAGGACTACATTGGGTTGAAGAGGTCAGACCAGATAGGGTGGTGATATGCACAGATTCATTGTCCATATTAAAAAGCATACAGTCAACAACAACAACAACTGTCAGAGAAGACATTCTCATAGAACTTAACCATAGCCTGTTAAGACTGCACAGAGGCGGTATAGATCTGCAGTTCTGCTGGGTGCCTGCACATGAGGGGGTGAAAGGGAACGAGTGTGCTGATAAATTAGCAAAAAGTGCACTACAAAAGCAAATAACATTACCAGTTCAACTTGGAAAAGGAGAAGGAAAAGCAGTCATTAAGAAGAAAGGGATGGAGATCTGGCAGAAAAGGTGGGAGAAAGACCAGAAAGGCAAAGACTATCACAAAGTACAAAAGACAATTACAATTAATATTTATAAAGAAAGAAACAGAAGGGAGGAAATCATGATAGCTAGACTCAGAATAAATCACACAGCTTTGAATGGTACGCTGTATATCATGGGGAAAAGTGACAGTGACAAGTGTGGGAGCTGTGGAGTAAAATAAGATGTAGAACATATCTTGTTACATTGTGACATCTATAAAGCTGAAAGAGAAAAACTAAAGGCTAAAGTTTTAGAGGCAGAGTGTGGTTGGTGTTTTGAACTAAAGGAGAGGGAATAGCTACCAGAAAGGCACTGTTTACCTTCCTGAGTAAAACTGGGGTAGGAAAAATAATTTAACACTAGGTCAGGAAAGATCATAGATTTTTATTTTTGTTTTATTTATTTCATGTTTTTTGTTTATTTATTTTTGATTAGATCATAGGTTAAGAGATGGAATGATTCATACTCATGTACATTAGGTGGCGGTATGCACCTTTAAAGTTGTTTGCAATCCGCCAAAAACCGAGAGAAGAAGAAGAAGGAAGTCCCGCCCACTGACTGATGGTACTTGGTTGCTATGACGACACCAAGCTCTAAAGGGCTAACTACTTCTGCTCGGTTCAAGAGTTCCTGAAATCGGTAATAACCTGTTAAAATCGCTTTGGTTATATTTATTTGTGTCCTATTTGACACAAAATATTCTGTAAACTATACTGTTTTCCAAAGTTAGCTAAAAGTAATAATGGGTTAACAAACAAGCCAACTACAAACAGCCTTGGTAGCATTATGTTTACATACCCTGAAGAGCTAGTGCATAGCCGCAGTGTTTCAAAGTGTTAAATGCTTTATGAGTTTTCATTTTGACAATATGTATTTAATACTCGCCCTCAAGTGTTGAATTTAACTTATGTTTAACAATACCACTGTGTATGTATAACTGAGCTAACGTCAGTATGTTTTTGTTGTCGTCCTGTGAAGACAAGCTGTCATGTCTGAGGTGTTTAAAGACAAGTCCCAGAGGAGAGGACATGGAGCCCGAGGCAAGGAGGCCACAGGCAGGACCAAGGAGTGAGTGCTCTGTAATCATGTGGGCAGATATCCAACTTTAATATTATTGCATTTTCGTCAGTCGTGTTTATTATTTGGTCCGATAGTAAGTAACCAAGTACATTTACTCAGGTACTTAAGTACAATTTAGATTGACTTGAACAGAACTTGAGTATTTCCATTTCCTTCTACTTTATACTTCTACCCCAGGGGTGTCAAACTCAATTTCATCGTGGGCCACATTAGCATTATGGTTGCACTCAAAGGGCCGGTTGTAACTATATAAATATACATATATAAATACATAATGTATATGAAATAATATATTATATTATATTATTGCCTCTGCAACTGAGACGTAAAGTGTATTTTTATTCAAAAAATATTTTATACTATTTCATTTAAGTAATACTTTGAATACAGATATGTAATTGTAACATAAAAATCATACTTAGCTGTCATTTCTATTTTAACTTGAATATAAGATTGACATATTTCTTCGAACACTGATTTCAACTGATATATAAAAAGCATTCCCAATACGTGTGTATCCTTTCTGGTTGAGAAGTTCCTCTCAGCTCTTTTTCAATAATTCCAGAGATCAGGAACCACATACCCTGTTAATGTTCCTGGATCTGATCCTGTCTTCCAGCTCTATAAGCACTGTGTCGTACATTGATGAACTCGCACACCATGATGACAACGCTCGGATGGCCATAACAACGGAGAACACCTACCAGCTGGGTGAGGTCATATTTACTTGTTTGACACACATGCTATACATATTTATGGTTTATGGTTCACACATGCATCACTGAGATGTATTCTGTCACATTTACGTTTTATGGACTGTATTTTGTCCAATAAATAATGCTCTAAACCAGGGGTGTCAAACTCAATTTCATCGCGGGCCACATCAGTATTTTGGTTGCACTCAAAGGGACAGTTGTAACTATATACATATACATATATAAATATTTAATATACATAAAATAATGCATTATATTACATTATTGCCTCTACATTGGATTATTATCGGATGGGGTAATAACTTCATAAATAACTACGTCTGAAAGCAGAAGTCCAGGGCAAATAATTGCAAGTCTCTTCAGTGCATATGTCACAAAATGAGATGCATTGTGGGACATGTAGTTTATTGGCAACCTGCTTCTGTAAAATGGCATGTGACCATATAATAAACGTATTATATTCTTTGCAAGCTCTTGCGGGGCCACATAAAATGAAGTTGCGGGCCGGATTTGGCCCCCAGGCCTTGAGTTTGACACCTATAAACTATATTATGGCATTGTGTTGTTTTAGAGGAGATGTATGCCACTGATATGATAGTGATAATATTACAGCATCATTTTAAAGAGCAATGGACTTCTAATTCGAAATAATTTTTTATGTAAAAAATATATGAAAGTATCCTAAATAAACAAAACATAAATAAACCCTTACCAAATAAAAATTGGACTAGGCCTACTTTTTTTAATCTGTTTTAAAAAAATCACAATGTTTGTGTGATGTGAACTGACAATAATATTATATGTAGTATTCATTTTCTATCGCCTCTCAAATCATAATTTTCTCACTTTGTCTCCATCCCCCCTAGAGCACCACACACTAATTCATTTAATTTGTTTTCTTAACTAAAAGTTGATAAAATGAAGAAAAAAATATTAAGATACATTTTTGTTATAATGTTAAATAGCCATATAGGCTATACATGTTGTAAAATCTGATATAGTAACACCTCTAATTGGTAAGGGATGGAAGCCTAACTAGACCAGAAACAGGTTTAGCGTTACAAATTTTGACGCAATATTCATTGAAATGTCAAATTATATTGCTTCACAATATGATTTACTGCACAAAAAGTAAAAGTTGGATTATAGTCTCTGTGTTTTTCTCACTACAGGACCAAATAAACGCATGCCTGTCCCTGCTGTCACAGACATACTGAAGGACGTACTGACCAGTTACCTCCAGGAGGAGAAATACGAAGTAGAATGGTCTCAGAAAATGACAAAAACAATATGCGAGGTAAATAAAACTGAAAAACAAATGCAACACCTTTTGAACACTTGGAACTTGTTTTCTATCAGTTCCCTTCCTTGGCTTCCCCCTCCAGGTGGTCAGAGCCCGTGTGAAGGAACTCATGATTCCCAGATACAAGATCGTGGTCCTGGTCCACATCGGCCAGCTCGCGGGACAGAGCATGCAGATCAGCAGCCGCTGTCTATGGGACGCCGCTAATGACACCTTCGCCTCCTTCTCCTTCAAAAACAGCTCTCTGTACGGCGTGGCCACTGTCTATGCTGTTTACTATGAGTAAACCATACACACAAAGACTGATAAACACTTTAAATTCCTAAAAGATTTCTGCTGTTAAAGAGTATATTTTGCCAAGTATCAAATGATAAACAAGAATTTGTAAACAAAATCATGGTGTTTTTTATTATTGGTAGCATGGAAGGTGAAATTACATTATGTTCTGAAGATTTTATTTCAATGTTTTGATGATTTTTGGGATGTTGTCCTCTAGCAGAGCATGGAGAGGTCACTCTTTCGACAGCCTACTTGGCAGCACACTGTTATTAGCGCCTGGTTTAGGTCCCGCCACTGACGGTCATTATCTGTCCTCTTCAGTTCTGGCTCTCTGCGACCTGCAAACAGACATAAACCAATCTGTCAATGATTTGAAATGAACCCCAATGCTACAAAGAGAAATATAATTGACTGTTCACTCACCGTCTTGCAAAGTCTCCTCTCCCCCCGTCACTCTTCTCCACCTGGATCCTCCGCAGGTGTACACCACTGCCCGCATTAACGCCCGGCCACACAGCCTCAGTGTGTTTTTGTTGTCCTGCGCCTGAACATGCGCCACATACACAGTGCACAGCAGCAACGCAAGCAGGAGTACAGATCTCATGTTGTTTCTTTTCGGAAAACCTGATCCAGATCAACCCTTTTTATACAGAGTCTAATGTGACATCACACATCTTCCTATCTCTGGTCACCACCATGCGCTTCAACTACGGATGTCCACCTGGTCATTTAGGGATATGTGTGGGAATCTAAGCCATTGTCACTGATTAAGGACGTTTTCTTAAATGTTAATGAGAATGAATTGCTCTTTTATGTCCCTTTTTATTGCCATGGATTTAGCAAAGTGTTTCCTAATGGGTGGCTTGAGATATCCGTCCCCGAACAAACTGAGATGATGGCTCTCTACATAGCAACATAGTGGAGAGTGGGCCGCTATCATGGACATAAATCAGTGATTCCAGGCAGAGACCTTTGCATTAGCTGGGACATTTGTTGTCAAATTGAACTGTTTCATGGAATAAATATTACCTTCAAATAGTGTTTACATGCCCATGTTTAAATATCAATGGTGTGGCTAAGCCTAACCAACATCAAAAACACAGTTTGTATTATTACATTACATTAATGTAATGTAATGTATTATAAATGTGTCTTGAATTAAGTTTTTTACGTTATTGATAAAGTTTAATTTGTAATTGCAGTTGCTTGAATTGTTTCATGGTGGTAATTTTTCATAGACGTCCTTTTATAAAAGGAGCATTCAGTTGTGCCAGGATTTATGAATATACAGTATAGAGCTTTTGAATCGTTTTGCTGTGGTGAATGATGAGTCTTTTTGGAAACACAAATTGTAGGCTTGGCATTTAGATGAAATTCTTTTTTGGGAGTTGTTTTCTAGTTTTTTAGGCAAAGTAATAATTGACACATATTTTTGAATAAATAATCAATCTTAATGGGGAGCAAACTTCCCTTGGGCAACCCAAGACTAAATAAAAAAGGGGAAATACGTATATATTTAAATTCTTTACATTTGGAGTCGAGTAATATTAAACACCAAACAGACCAACAAAACTGTTGTTTATTACAAACAAAACAAAATAAGAACAGAAAAGTCTAAATAAAAAGTCTTTGTTTCTGTTTAAAAAATAAATAATAATGTTGTTATAAAGTATCTGAGTTAAATGCATGGTAGGGGCTTGGACTGGGAGCCGTAGGGTTGCCGGTTCAAGTCCCCGAATAAACCTAAATATGGAGTGTGGACTGCTACTTGGAGAGGTCCCATTTCACCTCCTGGGCCCTGCCGTGGTGCCCTTGAGCAAGGTACCAAACAACCCCCTTCCCCCCCCACTCCCATTGCTCCCCGGGCGCTGTTGTACCATAGCTGCCCACTGCTCCTAGTACTAGACTCCTAGAACTAGGATGGGTTAAAAGCAGAGGCCAAATGTCACTGTGTGTGCTGTATGACCATTAAAGAGGTTTTCATCCCTCCGATTCTATATCTATCTATATTGAATTTCATTGATTTACATTACAGCCTTTTAAGGTACAGTTAGAGACACAGTTTATGCCTTTATGTACATGTTTTGTAGTTGTTTTGCTGAAATAATATAACATAATGCCATAACACCACGGTCAGTGTATGTTTTGGTCATTGGATTTTCTTTTTCTCGAAATGATATTCAAAAACAAAAAACGACTGGATATTTAATTTTCGTGTTAAAATTGAAAAAATACAATTGAAATACAAGGCGTTTTTCTTTATCATAGTCAAGAAGGGATCAACTAAACTTAAAAAACAGGATGATTTTCATTTTCTACTTCTAAAAACAAAAAATAAAGCCACTATTGAACAGAAACAAAAAATTCATGTCACAGCATCATCCGCGTTTAGGAGCATTCTGGTGTTAATACTGCAGGTGGGCGGGGCTCTACATCCGGGGACCGCCGCTAACCCCTGACGTGACCCTGCAGGATTGCAAACATGGCGGAGGTAAGAAAGTGAAATAAATATTCGGGAAAAATAAATGTATCCTGCAAAAATAGTCGGTTCAGTCGAACGTGTTCATAGTTTGCGTGATGTAGCTTTAATACACGAAATTAAGAAGCACATGTTTGCGTTGCTATATTTTGCCAATTTCTTCACAGAATGATGTTTAGTAAACTTCGGATGTAGCTAACGTTAGCTGCGCTAGCCTGAAGGTAGCTGCGGCATTAGCGATGTTACTCCTCGGTTTTGTTTAAGAATACTGAACTATACACTTTAACGCTTTTCATTAGATATGTAGCAGCAGCTTGGTGTTTGGAGGTGTTTTATGTATCTTTTCCCGGTCACTATTCACAGGCAGTTGATGCCAAGCGTAAGTTGGACGCGTTTAGCTTTACGTTTGAAAAAGATTTAGCTTTCTATGTGTATGTGAGTTAGCCAGTAAGCACATTAACACAGTAAGCGCCGGTCTGTTAAGCTAACTGTGGTTGAATGCAGGCGATAAGCACCACTGTACCTGGTGTAATATCGAGATGCTGCACATATTTTCCCACAGGAAGTGGTGACAGTTTTCTTTGTTTCTTTTCTCAGTGAACTGCATTCGGGGCACAGGGTCGAGCGCGCTTTTTCTTTACTCACATCTGGCTCTGTGTGTCAGAGTAACTTGCTCCAGTTATCAACAGCGCTAAGCCCGGTGCAATTGTAATGTTATAGGAAAACGTAATATATTTTGAAGCTGTCTTTTAACTTTATTTATGTTTTTTGTTTTCCAGCCCTCCCTCGGGAATTCGAGCCCAGGTACATACAGTTGGAGCCTTTTTGTTGTTGTTGTTGTTAGTGTGCACCTCATAGTACGTGTTAAATAGGACTCTTAAAGACAATTTTGGTCAAACTCAGAATTAGAACTTACCATTATCCAAAATTAAGTGATTGTTGAAGAATTAATGAGCTCTGTAATATCATTAATTTATTATTTATTTATGTTATTAAACTTCTAAAAATAGGTTGTTTATTATTTTTTGTTGCCAAAATTGTTTGTAAACAATGATAAAACACATTTTAAATCATGATTGTTAAAACAAATCTAATTTTGCAAACCTATGTTAATATTTCACAATATGCATACTACCAAATAAATTGTCATAGTGTTTATACCCTGCATCAGTTTTCTAAGGTTCTTACGAATTGCTTATTTTTCACTGGATTATGATGAAACGTGTATTGAATATCAGAAAGAAACTATAGACAATTTGCAATATGTGTATATGTAAATATCTGTTGATGAATGTTTACAGTTATCAAATAAGAAAATTAATATTTCCAGTAGTTTATTGCATGCAAAGATTTCATCTGTATTCACAACCCTATGCCTTAACACATCTGTTATGTACATATACATATATTCAAACTAAGTGATACATCTGCACAAGTAAATGTCCAATTCAGTAATTTTTGCTGTCACCTTTTGCAATATTGCTTTAATGTTTGTGTTTCCTTGTGTAGGAGGCTCAGCAGTCGCCGCTGACCATGATTTCGACCCATCAGCAGACATGCTCGTCCATGACTTTGATGATGAACGCACCCTGGAGGAAGAAGAATCGATGGAGACGTCAGATGAGACCAACGCCAACGAGATCGAGGATCTCGCACGCGTGAGTTTCAGGCTCAACTTGTATTCGTTTTTTTCAGCCCTGTCCGAAAAACAATAAAATGCTGTGAGGTTCAGTAAGCTCTTGACAATTTAACTTAGCCCCCAATCCTGACATTTCAAGGAGGGCATTTTCTGATCATTTTCAGGTTCATATTTGTATTTAGTGTCTCTACTGTGACATGTCTCCATGCTTTAATGTTCAAAAAGCTCTTTATTTTTCTCATCCTGCCTGTGCTGCAGAACCTCTTTTCACCCTCTGTCTGAAACCAGAGCCCAGTCTGCTCTGATTGGTTAGCTGGGTGACTGTGTTGTGATTGGTCAAGCACTTTGCAATGTCTCTGACCTAAGTCTATCATGTAAAATGTGTTGGAGCACTAGCCAATAGAACCGCGGATGTTACATATTGATGTCACTATGTTATGGAAGTAAACAAATAAGTCCAATAGAGGCGTTTCAGGCACGGGGGGGGGGGGGGGTGGAGTGTTTTGGAGAGAAACTCCCTCTTGAGGGAACACAGGGATTTTAGCCTTTGTAGACCATTTACATGCACTAAAACCTTTATAACACACTACAGGAGAGGAGATAATAGGGCCTCTTTTTAATATCCAATTAGACCACAGTGATTTTTTTACTCATCAAATGATTAGTTGTAACTTTATTTTAATTTACAATGTGACTTTTCTGCCAACAGGAAGGAGACATGCCCATTGATCAGCTGCTGAGTCTCTATGGTTATGGGGGCGGCTCGCCCGCAGATGAAGATGATGATGACGAAGACGAAGAGCCTGAGGAGGAAGATGATGATGACGAAGAGGATGAGGAAGAAGACCTAGACAACGATGAAAGCAGTAGAAGCACCGGCGAGTTAAAAATAAATGAAGTACGTCTGTTTGTCTTGAGCATCTTTTCAATGATATTATTCCCATACATTTTAAATATTTTGTTGTGTTGACTGTTTTTGTATTTTCAGCATTGTTGGCAACTCGATGTGTATGTTTTTACAGGGTGATGGAGGTAAGATGTCATCGGGACAGGGGGATGAGTCCCAGATAACATCTGAAGTCCGCACGCGACCAGTCAGGACGCTGGGCACAGCAGAACTCATTCGACCCCAGAAACTGAAATATTTTGAAAGTACGTGCCATCTTCATCGTCTTCTCTTCATCTTTTTCTTTCTTTCTTTGGTTGAGATTTAGCTGGTTAAACGGATATCACATTGTGCCTCAGGTAATAATGATGCAGAGGATGAGTCAGATGAAGATGAGGACTATGTTCCATCGGAAGACTGGAAAAAGGTATGTGAGATGTTTTTATTTTTCAGAGTGGGATACAGGTTCAATTACGGCTTAATTTAGACTACACTAAAAAAGGGATATACCGGATAAGAAAGATGGTTTAATTAAGTAAAATAGCAAATACCATGATCTCAAAATACTCCATTTCAAGTAAACGTCCTGAGTTGAAAATGTTAAGTTATTATGTTTTCTAAGCTCAATGTACTTCAAGTATCACATGTTAATGTTCTCAGTAGGCACAATGAATCTTTAGAAGATTATTATATTATATTATTCGTTTTTTTTAACCAACACAGACAGTGGGGCAAAAAAGTATTTAGTCAGCCACCAATTGTGCAAGTTCTCCCACTTAAAAAGATGAGAGAGGCCTGTAATTTTCATCCTAGGTATACTTCAACTATGAGAGACAGAATGGGGGGAAAGAATCCAGGAAATCACATTGTAGGATTTTTAATGAATTGGTAAATTCCTCGGTAAAATAAGTATTTGTTCACCTACAAACAAACAAGATTTCTGGCTCTCACAGACCTGTAACTTCTTCTTTAAGAGCCTCCTCTGTCCTCCACTTGTTAACTGT